AACTGTCATATAACACAACAATTTTGTTTCAAATGTCGGAAATCTGATGGTAAGCCAACATGGACAAAATGACTTGCGGTGCTGTGAAGCCAACTGGTCGCGACGAAGGATCCCATCAACATATACCCATCAACCAACAGGGGTAACTTGGAGCAATGAAGCCAAGCAAGTCAAGTGCCCATTTGGTTTGCTTATTGGTTTGGTTACTTGACCATTCTTCCGGGGTCGGCGGCAGGGGCGGCAGTCCTTAAATTCGGCTCCGCCGGCTCCCCACGAGTGGCTTGCCCTACGAGCGTCCCAGAGCGACTAGAGCTCTAAGGTGAGGCGCGCCCCCAACCGCCGACCCTCCGACGCCGGGCCCCGAAAAACACCAAAAATCCTTCAGGAGGATGGGGGAGAGCTTTTTGGCCGGAATCCGGGTCGCTCATCAGCGTCTTCAAGAGCATTCCCCCCCCCCCGTTTGGAGGGTACCTAAAATCGGAAAAAAGCGCCGTTTTGAGACATTTTTCGGACGATTTTCAACTTTTCGAAAGTCACAAAATGCTGTAAATTACAGCATTTTTGCGTTTTAACCTCTGTTGCGGGAGCCATGCAAAAACGCAGAAAATGCTGTAAATACCAATACTTTTTGGACTCGAGATGCATAAAACACTGCAAATACCAGTGTTTTTGCAAGCAAAGCAAAAAAACACTGTAAATTACAGCATTTTTGGCAAGTTGATCGCAAAAAATGCTGGTATTTACACTGTTTTGCAATTTCAAGAAAACGTGGAAGGCACGAAACACTGTAAATAGCGGTGTTTTGGCCACTTTTGGGCGCTGAAACGCTGGTATTTACACAGTTTTTTGCCCGTGACGGCGCCAAACCCCTGTAAATTACAGCATGTTTTGCACTTTTTGAACCGATGTTTTGCCTTGATGAACGCAAAAAACGCTGGTATTTACGCGTTTCCCAAAAAATCGAAGATCGTGACGTGAACGAAACACTGTAAATAACAGTGTTTTAGCCACTTTGGGGGACTAAAACTGTGGTATTTACGCGGGTTCTTGCCAGCTGACAGCGCAATATGCTGTAAATTACAGCACTTTGTGCGCTGTTTAATGTTCAATTTTTAAACGCGCGATGCTTTCACATGTTCTTTGCATTATTTTGCACTCTTCCACAAGAAACAACGTTGCAGATTGAAACTGGACGACAGCGTGACCCGAAAGAAAGCTGGAGGGAGGAGACGCACAGAAGCTTTTACCCCCACACACAGGGGCTTTTACACAGAGAAGTCTTTACACAAAGGAGCTTTTTACATACAGAAGGTTTTACACAGAGAAGTCTTTACTCTAAGGTGCTTTTGCAGACAAACGTCTAGGAGCTTTAACTCACAGAAGTTTTTACACGAAGAAGTCTTACACAGAGGGCTTTTTACACACAGACGCGTTTGCACACAGAAGCTTTTACACAGAGAAGCTTTTACACAGAGGAGCGTTTACACACCAAAGCGTTTACACACAGCAAGCTTTTACACACGCAGGGGCTTTTACACATTTACACAGAGTAGCTTTTTACACACAGAAGGTTTTACACAGAGAAGTCTTTCCTCTGAGGAGCTTTTTCACACAAACGTCTTGGAGCTTTTACACAAAAGTTGTTACACAAAGAAGTCTTTACACAGAGAGCTTTAACACACAGACGCGTTTACACACAGAAACTTTTACACAGAGAAGCCTTTACACAGAGAGTTTTTATACACGGAAGCTTTTACACACAGAGAAATCTTTACAACGACGTGCTTTCACACAGAGAAGCTTTTACACAAAAAAGTCTTTACACAAAGTGGTTTTTACACACAGAAACTTTTACACACAAAAGCTTTTACACAGAGAAGTCTTTGCACAGAGGCGCCTTTACACGAAGTAACAAGTTGAAATCGGCAGCAGTTCTTTAGGAAAAACCCTTCGCAGGAGCTTTCGGGAACTCACTTGCTCCCCAAAAAATCGTCTATTCCAACAAATATGTTCCAAAAAACCTAAGGAATATATTTCTGAAGCAGGTCCTCATTCAGTAACTTTCACGCCCACACTGCGATGAAATGGAGGGCCGAGTGGTCCGGCGGAGCCGACGAGGGGCGTCAGCCCAAAAATTCGGCTCCGCCGGCTCCCCACGAGTGGCTTGCCCTACGAGCGTCCCAGAGCGACTAGAGCTCTAAGGTGAGGCGCGCCCCAAGCCGCCGACCCTCCGACGCCGGGCCCCGAAAAACACCAAAAATCCTTCAGGAGGGTGGGGGAAAGCTTTTTGGACGGAATCCGGGTCGCTCATAAGCGTCTCCAAGAGCATAATCCCGCCCCCCCCCCGTTTTGAGGGTACCTAAAATCGGAAAAAAGCGCCGTTTTGACACATTTTTCGGACGATATTTTGCTTTTCGAAAGTCACAAAATGCTGTAAATTACAGCATTTTTGCGTTTTAACGTCTTTTGCGGGAGCCAGTCAAAAACGCAGAAAATGCTGTAAATACTAATACTTTTTGGACCCGAGATGCACAAAACACTGCAAATACCAGTGTTTTTGAAAGCCAAGCAAAAAAAACACTGTAAATTACAGCATTTTTGGCGGGTTGATCGCAGAAAATGCTAGTATTTACGGTGTTTTTGCAATTTCAAGAAAACGTGGAAGGCACGAAACACTGTAAATAGCGGTGTTTTGGCCACTTCTGGACGCCGAAACGCTGGTATTTACGCAGTTTTTTTGCCCGTGGCGGCGCCAAACCCTTGTAAATTACAGCATTTTCTTCCCTTTTTGAATCGATTTTTTGCGTTGATGAACGCAAAAAACGCTGGTATTTACGCGTTTTTCAAAAAATCGAAGATTGTGACGTGAACGAAACACTGTAAATAACAGTGTTCGGGCCACTTTCGGGGACCAAAACTGTGGTATTTACGTGAGTTCTTGCCATCTGACAGCGCAAAATGCTGTGAATTACAGCACTTTGTGCGCTGTTTATGTTCAATTTTTTAACCTGCGATGCTTTCACCTGTTCTTTGCATTCTTCCACAAGAAACAATGTCGCAGATTGAAACTGGACGACAGCGTGACCCGAAAGAAAGCTGGCTGGAGGAGTCGCACAGAAGCTTTTACACATACAGGGGCGTTGACACAGAGAAGTTTTTACACAAAGCAAACCCCTGTAAATTACAGCATTCTCTTCCCTTTTTGAACCGATTTTTGCGTTGATGAACGCAAAAAACGCTGCGATGCTTTCACCTGTTCTTTGCATTCTTCCACAAGAAAGAATGTTGCAGATTGAAATTGGACGACAGCGTGACCCGAAAGGAAGCTGGCGGGAGGAGTCGCAGAGAAGCTTTTACACATACAGAGGCGTCTACGCAGACAAGTCTTTACACAAAGCACACAGAAGCTGTTACACAAAGACGTGTTTACACAGAGGGCTTTTTACACACAGACGCGTTTGCACACAGAAGCGTCTAGACAGAGAAGTCTTCACACAGAAGAAGCTTTTACACACAAAAGCATTTACACACAGCAAGCTTTTACACACCCAGGGGCTTTTACACAGAGAAGACCTCACACAAAGGAGCTTTTTACACACAGAAGGTTTTACACAGAGAAGTGTTTACTCCGCTTCCTGCCCTTTTAAGAAAGAACCTGATCCTTTCGCTTTGTTCGAATACTTCTACAAAAATCGACCGCGCAACTCTGGTTTGATTACTCCGCTTCCTGCCTGTTTAAAAAAGAACCTGATCACTTCCTTTCGCTTTGTTCGAATACTTTTACACGAATCGAACGCGCAACTCTGGTTTGATCGTGCTAATCCCTGCAAAGGTTTACCACGTCCGAAGGGGAAGGCGACGTGTTGCGGTGGGACTGTGTTTGCTTCCGTCTTCACCGTCATGCAGTGACTGCGGGTTGTTGCCACAGCAGAGTTCAGAATGTGAAATTTGAAGCTTGTGCAAGTTATTTCCGAAACGATCTGCTTAACTGTTTCACATAGGGGTGTGTGCGATCTTTGTATTTGTCTGTGTTTTGAAATGAATAATTGATGACTCTAAAATGAGGATAGCATGACAGAGGAGGTCAAAACCAAAAGCACTTCCTTGAGTTTCCACTGTCCTTCGTACTGTATTTGTGTTTTTTCCAGCAAATGCAGCTGTTGCAATGGTTGCCCCCAGATACTATACACTCGATCTGCCGCACTTTTGCAGGGGCCGATTGAGCTACGTGTCGAGGGCGTTCCCGACAGCCTTCGGCTACGGACAATGCCGGCGTAGTGGAAAAAGGCAGACATGCACTCCTTGAGGCAGTTGGAGCACTCAACACACTTACTTTGCTTAGCCGCTTAGCGGCATGACGACTCGCTGTAGCTTCAACGGCTTCAACTGCTGCCAAGACATGCCTGGGCGATCCCCTTGTCAAGTCACCGAAGCTCGTGTCTGAAGACATCCACGGCAAAAGAACCTTGCGTCCTTGATGTAGAAACAACCTGTTTTCAGGAATCAATGTTGGCTCCCTTTGATATTTATTGCGGACATATTGGGTCACCATCATGGCATCTTCTTTCTTGGGACAAAGCCCTCCAATCTCTTTTTCGTGCACAATGATCCCCGAAGCTACATGTTTGGCTTCGTGGGCATGGCGGTTTTGCAAGCCAAAAGGTTGCAAGTTCCAGATTTGGGACAGATACTGTATACAATAGTAGACACACATATATATATATATCTACTATTGCATACACACAATAATATATACGTATATGTCTTTTCACAATATATACAATAATAAATATATATATATATAAATACAGATAGAAATATATCTATATATACATATATCTTTGTTACGCATGCATGCACTATGACATATGTATCATGTGTACAATTCGAATCCAAATGCGGGTCTTGCAACAATTTGTGCAGTCTGGCAACTGTCGGAAAGCGCCCAACTTACAGCCGGCTGTGACAATGTGGAAAAAAGGAAATGTGTGCAATTCGAATCCAAATGCGGGTCTCGCAACAATTTGTGCAGTCTGGCAACTGTGGGAAAACGCCCAACTTACAGCCGGCTGTGACAATGTGAAACTCCAGTCTGAGGCCAAAGAAGAGGTTTGCTGAGTTTACTGAAATGATCTGAAATGGAAAGTAAAAGTTTTGCAACGGCAAGCAAAGACTGCACTGCTCACATTGCTTGCCTGTTGGCCCCACAGTATAAACAATTCAGCTCACAGTCACTGCCCAGGGCTTGCACTTGCCGGTCACCTGCCACATCGGAGGCACAAAACATATAGTATCTGTGGCAAATGAATAGAGGTTTTCATGGGGCTGTGAATCTGTTTCTCTGTGGAGCTTCAGTGATTCCTCCAAGCCGCCGGCCGGTTCTTGCGTGGATCCGACATTCAGCTTTTTATGATGTTGATGGCCTTGCAGTGCAGCTTGGCTCTCTCGGATTCATATACATGGACACACAAGGACAGGTCGCCTCAAACTGAAGTATGCCAACAGTGACCGGGATAAATTTCGAAGTGCGGTGAAAGGACAAGTGTCATAGAGTGGACAGGTTCCTTTCTGTATCTCTTGTTATGGGAATATGAAAAAACATGGGATATTGCCATCTCAGACTCCGGCATTGGCGGTTTCGCAGCTTCACTGGGAAACCTGCCAACAACACACCCAGCGACTTGACATCCTGCACTCAGGTCACCGTGCATTCTGCGAACGTCTGTGAATAGTGGAGGTGGACTGCAGTTTTGTCACCGGGATAGGCAATACTGCTATACCGGCTATCCCAAAAAAAACGTTACTGTCATCAGTTGCTGCAAGTTGAGGAAAATCAAGTTGGCTGGTTGAACTCACATCTGAATCTCAAGCAGTCCCACCAAACTGGCAGACCAAAGTCTTCGTGTGTCACCGACGAATCACGGGAATGTGATAGGAAGCGACGCAAATTCAAAGACCAGGCAGGGGCTGTTGCATTCCTGCATTTTTCTGGGTGGTTGACAAAGTGCTCCGAACGCCGGTTTTTTAACACCTATTGGCATGCAACGAGCTCTCGCCAAAGTCCTGCGCACTTTTTGTCGACAAGGTGCGCATATCGAGGCGCGAAACCATGGAAACACAAACCCTACTTCGGCGACACCGGAAGCCACGTTACCCGAGAAAACAAAGCCCGATAATGTTTTCACACGTGAATTCACACACTTCGGAATTCTTACCATGCCCAACTATACTTAATGATGAGTGGTTGACATGATGATGCGGTTGACATGATGGTGGGATTGCTAACCATGACCATCTTCCTCACGCGGAAGTTTTCTAACTAAATTTCCTTTGACACTTGCATAATACGCATCATATCTATCACATCATGTCGGGTCTGTTTATAGCATGTAACTGTCTACTACAGTATACTAGAACTTAGCAAAGATTTGACGGCATCATGCGTCGCGTTGATCATGTGATGCCAGCAGTTCCTGCAGACTCCCGCGCCTCTTCTCCAGTAAGTCCCCCGTTGGTACTGTAGTAGGTCTACGTGCCTGGCAAGAACTTCATGTGGAGCTGCCAGATTGAAGGACTGGCTTGACTAGCTTTTTTGTCTTAAGGGACAGCGAAACCATCACAAATTGCTGCCACTCTTGAAAAAAAACAATGTAAGTCTTCAACCGCTACCTGCTCATACGTATATGTTCACAGACTAATGCTTCAGTAGTTAGTTGTTCCAAACTCACGTTGCAGGCTTTGTGCACAATGGATTGGTTTGTAAATGACGGCGACGACCAAAGCAGTGACTGTCCAGGTGACAGGAAGATAGTGCACTGGACTCAATCCGGTGCGCGAGTTGACCCGCGCCTTGGGTTTGCAGCTATTTTGCCTTGCCCTGCTGGCCTCCAAGACGTTCACTTTGAACCGCTTTGTGAAACTTCAGTGTCACATTGAATTCATCACGCTTCACCCCTTCAGTAGTTGGAGCCCGAGTTCAAGCACTAGTTGAAACAAAAAACCTGTTACAGTAGCTGCGTACCGTCTGTGTCACATTGCCTGAAGATGAAGTCTGAAAGCAAATCATTCCACCGGCAAGAGCACGCGACCCCAAACACTGCGGGGAGTAGGAAGTTAATGTACCAAAAACAAGCAACAGTAGCCATTTCTAGCTGATGTTCTGCAATTCGGAGGTTCTATAGTTCATCCATGCATGACTGAGTTTTCCATGCATGGCCGAAGTGAGCCAAAAGGTGACCTCCGCTTTGAGCCAGCTGTGCAGGTATCATTCCGTTGCTTTCACTGCTTCTTCCTGCAGTTTTTCTCACTGCTTCTTCCACTTCCCATGCACTCTCCTTCACCCCATACCTATTGTGCAACACCACGTCGAAGAAGCCGCATGTGCGCCTCACAAACATCAAAGTATCTAGGTTAGGGTGTTGTGCTGCTGTCGTCAAGATTTGGACACCCCAAGTCTCCGAGATACATCTTTTTCTTGCTGCGTGGCTTTTTTGTCTTCCGCAAACCGAGCTTTGTCATTTGTGTCTTTGGCGTTTAGCTGGCTTGGCCCCGGTTGCGGTCAAGGCATCTTTGGCCTCCAGACGCGGCACCTGCTTCTCTGCAGAAATCCTCTTTCGGCATGTCTTGGTAGCGCAGTGCTGACAAGTCCAAACCGGCAACCGTTTGGCGTGATACTTTGCATTCTCGGGCCGCGTCGTGCCACATCCTTCAGCACAGGGAGGATACGCACAATCGTGACACCAAGTTGCGGCCGCTGCATACTTTGGCAACGGCTTGCTGCATTGGCAACACCTTACTTCTCTTTCTGTTTTTGGTTTTTCACGTTTCTGTTTGGCAAATCCACTCACTCTCGCAGGTTTTGGCTTGCAGCGTTTGCATCGCAGCTTCCGCAATTCTTTCGATGCCCTGCTCTTTCGCACCTCCTCCGGATCGAACTCTTGCAACAATCGCTGCCGTTCACCATGCCTTTCAGCGTCACAAACTCTGCAAGCCAATCGCACTGTTAGTAAGCATTTGCCACAAAAGCCCAATTTGGAATTTGTCACTTCTCCACACCAACCGCAAGGAGATGCGGTCACTTCTTGTGGTGCAGCCTGTGCCGCCGCACATTCCTTGCACATTCTGTCCATTCCGTCTTCCAACAGCTGCCTGGGGTTGTCCAAGTGCGCACTGTCAAAGTCCGCCCAAGGCTTCCAGACCTCAAGTCCGTCGTTGTTGAGGGTGCATAAGCGACAGGCCAACAGTATGTCCTTTGTTCGCTGCCGCTTTGGTTTCTCCATAGCAAAGCTTTTTTTTGCTTCAGCGAGATCTGTGGCCTGCCTGTGCACATCCAGGAGTAACCTGGGCCCGAGCAAATCACCCTGCGCAAAAAGGTTTGGCGAAAATGCCTGTGTCACGCATACGTCCTCACACTTCTTCACGCGTGACAAACACATGTAGCCACTCAATTGCGCATCGCGATTTGAAGGCGCATTCCATGCTTCTAAGTCCAGTGTGCATGCCTTTAATGTTGAGCCCATGAAAGAGTGTGCTGTCCCTGCGTAGTCGCAGGCAATTGGAAATCCTCGGCGTGCAATGGTCGCAAGTCCTTGAGGGTCCACCTTCCAATGTTGCAGAATGGGACGAACACGTATGACCCCAACCTCCGCATCTAGCTCTTCTTGCCATGTTGCGCCTTCTATCTTCAAAAAGAGACAGGCTGGCATTTTTTCAAGCACCAATTCCATGCCTGTCGAGTCTCGGATGCGTTCCAAATCATGTTCATCTAAACTCCATCCTAGCAAGGTCGCCCTTGTGTTCTTGTAAATTTTGAAGCGCCGAAGTTCTGGCAATGTCTGCGTCACGCGCACCGGCATACCTGGCAAGAGCGGCAACAGCCCCATGATCCCGCCAGTGTCCTGATCGTGCCTTCTCAACCATGACTCTTTCGCTGCGGTGCCTGCGGTCGGATCACCGTGTTCCCCTGTAAACAAAGGCATATCCTTTGCAACAACCCAAAGTAGAAGGTGTTTTCTGTGCCGGGCAACAAACTTGGCACGGAGCTGCGCCGCAATGTACTTGGCTGCGTTCAGTGCATGAATGAACGGCCCGGCCAAGAACTTCATGTCTTTGGGGTTAGGCGACAAAAGACTTGTCCCTGCCACTATGCACCGACGCCGACGTTCGGCCTGACATTGCGTGCACTCTTCTTCTTGACGAATTGCCCATGCTCGCACCACACCGTTTTTGACTTCAACGGCCCACTTTTGGTAGAGTGCTTCGCACTCTGCACGTTGGCAAGTGCACTTCCCCGTGCTTGGGTTCCAGGAACCTGCGTGCAGGGTTGGATATCCATGAAGGAAAGACCACACTTCCTGGGATTGTCTGCCGTGTCGGGCTTCCTGCAACACAAAGCTCAGCCAAGGATCCACGCATCGCTGCTCTTTTGTGAGTTCAAACAACTGCGCCATGTTTTGCACTGAATGTGTCCAAAGAAAACGTTGCATGGCAGCAACTCCAAAACTGCGTGTTTTGGCCCATGGATTGTGGAAGACGGACGTGGCGCGCACTGCAGGAAATTGCCAGAAATCGCCCGCCAGAACCAAGTTGCAGCCGCCGAACATGCGCGGTTGCTTTGGCTCTCGCAGTTTCCATGTGCGCTTGTCGCGCGCGGCCACCGTCATTTGCTTTTCCAATGCCACCAACACTTCTAAAGGCACTGTACTGGTTTCATCGACCACGACCCAACGGATGCGCTGATACTTTGTGAACTTGTCTGGCCCAAATTTGCTGGGTGCTGCACGGCCATCCCCCTTGATGCCAAGATTTGCGAACGAATGAAGCGTAATCCCATCTATCAAAGCCGCCTGTGTGTTTTGGGGCGCTAAGAACACAAACTCCTTCTCATTCACCCAGTCACATACATCCTCACTCGCACCCACTTCAAGGTCTGGGATTTGCCCGCTCCTGGCACCCCATGCAGAAAACACCGTTCGGGCTCGCTCCGAAAGTCTGGGTCCTTTTCTTCTTCATCCGCTTCTTGCAAGCATCTATGGATCACGGCGTTCAGAAATGCAAGTTGTTCCTCGCTTGGTAGCAAACTGCTTTGGCCTGCTTGCAAACCGGCCACCCATGCTTCTGCAGCCTGCGCAGTTAATTTTCCATAACTGAAAATCACTGGCGGTTGGCTTTCACCGTCTCCTTTCCAATTCCGTGTTTCTTGTGGTTCTTGGCTTGTTCGTCCGGTGTCCACCATTGCCCCTGTCTTCGCCACAGAAAGCCCATCGCTCTCCAAACCCTCCGCATTGTGCGACCAATGCTGGACAATGTTTTTAACGGCTGCTCCCACTCGGGTGGTGTGCTGCGCGCCTTCTGCCTGCGTGATCTGATTGATGATGTCCAATGTTACCCAGCTTGTATCCACCTCCTTTTCTGCACCTTTCTGTTTGCAGCCTTCTTCGTCAATGTCATCCATGTCAGTGTCCAACGCTGCAAGAAAATTGCGAATTGTGCCCGCAGCATGCTCAGAAACAATGTGGTTCCGAACGTAATCTTCCCAAGCCATGGCATGGCTGCGTTTTCCAACGCTAGTCTTGCCAGAGTACCGCTTTGTTGCGGGCATGCTGGACAGTTGCTCTGAAATGGAACGGTCCAAGGCGCAAATATGCGGAACACGCGTGCTCGCGTGCCTCAGGTCCAAAACCCACGGGCGTAAGTAAGCGTTCAACATCAAAGCCTTCTCCTCTGCAGAGGTTTCTGGGCGAGGCAAAGGACAACTGCACGGGCTAGGCACCGCCGGTGTGGCTCTGCGTTTGAAATAATGCGTGCTCCACATTCTGCCAAGCCCTAATGCTTTCGGAATGCGAACAACGTCCAAAGCTGCCTTCTGGGGCAAGGTTGTCTTCCACCGATAGGCTCGCCCATGATGCCAGCCGGCGATTCTTGCCTTCTGCTCTTCTGGGCCGGCCCACTCGGTGAGTGAATCTTCACTGTGACTAGGCGGCTCTACCTTCCACAAGGTCCAAAGTTTCACAAATTCCCACGGGGACAAGTAAAGTACTCGTGCGTCACTGCCTCGCCAACCATAGAGATCCAAAGTCGTGTACTTTCGCCTTTGACGAGCTTGCACATCCACTGTGGGTTCAGCACTCATTGGTCGCAACAACCACAGCAATTCCAAGCCCCGAAAAGGCTGTGTCTGGAAGCTTCGTATGCTCTCTGCAGCAGTGGGGTCATTGGCGTCTGCAAACCCAGCTAGCATAAATTCTTCGGTCAAAGGCCGCACCGAACACCGGAACTCCAGGTCCCCAAGAACACGATTCACCACAGTCTCGTGCTGTTTGATGCCTTTGTCTAGTTGCGCCGTTTTGCTCTCCAAAAAAACAAGCTGCTTTGCCGCCTCCTGCAATTCCTTTTTTCCAAGCGGCTGTGGTTTTTGCAAATAGCCGGTGAAATATTTGGTTGCCCGTCGGGCGGCCAGATCCATGACATGCGTCAGGTGCGCAACGGTGTATTTCTCCAAGCACTTCCGTTTGCAGTCTTCATCGTGCGTGCTTTTGCACAAAGGAACCCGGAAATTGGGGGCAGTGTGACTGTTGCCCATGAGCATCAAGGAAAAAGCAGGGGCAGTCCCAGACAACCACTCATTGTGCCGCTGCCCCAATACGGCGCCAAGCGCGTTCCGACGACCGCGCGTGCTCACCCCATATTTGCGTGAGTTTCCACGGCAAATAACTCTCGGCATCAAGTTCAGCTTCTTCGGGAAATTGTGCTTGCATTTTTTGTGCGACCCTTTCTTGTGACACGCCGGCAAAAGCTTCCGTTCTTTCCGTTCCTTATCCCACGGGTGGACGTGATGCTGATAATGCAACATCTTTTCTTGCACTGCCGCTTTGTAGGCGTTCTTG